CTTCTCTCCCTCTCTCTCCCCCAGGCACCGTCCCTCGCCCAACCAGGTGAGTTTTATATGCAATAATTTTTCTTTTTATACCCTGTACTCATAGAAAGGCTAGCCAAGGCTCTAAGTTGGGCTTAAGTTTATGTAGTGGCCAACTGCAATGCCATAAAGCGCCGCTCGACAGCCCCTGCTCACACGGTACTCTCGAATCGAGAGTCTCGATTATGCTAGAAATTCTGCTCGGCATATGGGCATGGTAGTAATGCCTTGTGCACAAAGCAGCTGCAGAGTTATCGATAAATATCGATTAGGATACATGCGAACTAATTTGAATGTCGATATGCTGAAGCTTAGTTGGTCTACATTTATCGATACATAGCGATAAAGATAACTGATGAATCTAAAATCTACTATCATTAGTAGGTATAGCCCACTTTCCAAATATCGACTTTTGCATGCTGGGAATTCGAGCCCCTTTCAAATGTCAGCTAATAATGCAGCGTGATCTACTCAGAGTTATAGCCAATTGATATATACATCTCTCATACGCTAATCTATATCCCCTTTTTCTTACAGAGTATCTGCGAAGCGAACACGCCCCATAGTGCTCCGCTCTTTTCGGTCATATGTGCGGCAGGCGACGCCGTTGGGTTGGATTTAATAAATTCTAATGTTTGCTTACCGTGGCTGGCAAGCCTTTCAACCTGTAACCGCACAAAGGTTCGCTCAGCTTTCCGAAGTGGGCGCAGCGGGTGGCGTGGGCGTGGCCAACGTCGAGCGCACATCTCATAGGGTCAACTCTTTGGTAGCCTGGCAAAAGGCGTCAGCGTCGGCGGCGGCGGCAGCAGCTGCAGCAGATTTACTTTTATTGCAAGTTGCAGTGGCGCAGGAAGGATGCGTCCAGGTTTACGTGCAGGTCCAGGTTCAGGTCCTTGCACTGCAAACACACACACACACACACACACCCAGACGCACATGCAACTGGCAGCTGGCAGCTGAGCTGATGTAGACATTCAAATGAATGAGTGCTGGGACAACTGGCAGCGGTCCAAGCGCACCAGCAGCAGAAGTACATATATACATATATATAAACATAAATCT